CACCAGAGGCTTAATCAGAACGCAAATATTAATTTGCAGCCTTAGATGACCACAGTTATGCTTCTTTTATATTGAAACTTGTTGCAAGCAGGCCAGTTTTGGCATAGGGTAAACGATTTCCAGGGCTCAAGGTTATTTTCTCTCACTTGTGTTCTTCTCTTTTAGTATTTGTTGACTTTTCAAATGTCAGTCAAGCTCTGTATAACTGTTCATGGCACCAGTTGTTACTGTTTTCCATGTTGATTCAGCATCTTGGAATTTGTAGCTAACCTTCCTCTCTTCTGTGTTCCAGATTGCTTGCATTTTATTGCAACACAATTAATTTTGGTATCATCTGTTCCATGACTCTCTATAGAATTACCTACTTAGTTTTGCTTTCTAAACCAGGCACAGTATCATTAACAGTGCATATAAATCCTGCTAAAAGCTTCAGGACAAAATCCAGAACCTGCATAATTAACCAAGCCAAAAGCCCAGCAGATGTATGCTGGGAAAAACATGCAAAGCTCCAGAGAGGCTGATGATCAACAGGTTAAGTGCCCACTTCCATGAAGACCATATATGAAGAAGGGAGAGGATGCATTTAGTGATGGGTTATGTGTCTGTGTTTTGCCATCTGAACTTTCCCTCTCCTTGCAAACATAACCAGAAAGCATTTCAATGATACAAAGAATTTATTTGCTACAGACCCTTCATCTATCTCCCTCTTGTCTATTGAGGTAGAACAAGGGAGGATAAACTACTGTCAGAAAAAATCCTCAGACAGTGCCCCTTGATGGTGATCTAAATTGCTATGTGGCCCTTTGTACAGGCTCTCTGCACTGGGGTGAATTTCCTCTCTTGGATATGATGGAACCAAACGACATGTGGAGTACTGATAAATTATCTTGCCTATCCTTGGCTAGTATAAGACACTTGGCATCAAGTTTATTTTAGTTAAATGTAGATGAATCTAATTCTTTTGAAAGTTTTAGGTGCTTGTTGTCACTGCTGTGACTGTGAGCTGTAACGGAACATTGAGCACACTATGGAGCCTCTCCTCAAGACACTATCAACATAGTGTAGTGGTTTTAATCTTGTAGACAGTGATGTTATAGAGGCTATGGCCTAGGCAATAGACACAGATACACAGATGTTGAAAATCCCCAGTAATTTCTGGAAAAATCAGGAAAATCATTAGTTAAGGCAGCACCAATATCCAGACTAACCTTGTTGCACTTATTTTCCATCCAGCCATCATAGTACTTAAGGGCCCTTGCTAATTCCCCTTTACTTCCAAGATACTGTCAAACTTACATTTATTAGATGTGAAGCCAGAACTTCCAGAGGCTAACAATAATGCAGGAAGGACAGACTCCCTGTAGCTAGAACAGTCTTTCTCTACTAATAATGATTAAAATTTTAAACACTATCTCTTGCAGTCAATACTTTAAAGCAGTATCTTAATTAGTTGAGTCAGTGGGCAAAAGTATCACTACATGTCTATAAAATGATCCTCACCTTGCTGCTGAAATAGAGTCAAGAAAACTTTATTGCTAATTTTTCATGGGATCTATGATACAGTTTGAAATCCCTCAGTTTGTGTGTCTTTATGAAAGTCTGGGTTAAAATTACTGACTTTTCATTGTATGGGCATGTATTCCTCCTTCCACTTCAGCTGGATGCTGCTACTTTCCAGAGATGCTGTGTGCTTAAAAGAACTGTCATATCTCAGCTAAAATGGAAAAGAATTGTTCATCTGAGGCAAAGAGGTGGGTACTAACTTATTCCAGACTTGAAAAAGAATCTCTCCCCCAGCTGTCACAGAGCTGGTTCCCAAAATCAGTAATCAGGAGTGACTAGTGCTCTTTGGAAGATCAGAGCTTCCAATGTATCGTGCTGGGCTTCTATTCTGCTAGGGGATGAAATGACTAACAGTGCTACTAGGGATTAGTGATGCAAGAGGTCAAATGTGTTAGAATTTTCCCAGAATCCAATGACTGTGTTCTTTTCATTCAAAGATGTGATCTTCATATTCTTCTCCTGCTGTTAAATGAGAAAAAAGAATCTAATAGGACTCAGATCCCATGAAAAATAAATCCTTCTGTGACCAAGGAGTGTGAGAAAAACCTGAAGGACCACCTGTGTGGGTGGATTTGAAGGACAGATTTAAGTCATAAGGAATGCCTACACAACCTTCACTACTAACAGAAATCTGAAATAGAGTATCTCTGTTACTACTACCATTGTCAGAGAACAAAGATCACATTCAGTGATTTCTCTCTCTCTTCCTCTCCCTCCATCACAGCAAGGATAAGGATTTTGCTACTGCAACAAGTTATGGGGTTAAGATTTCACCATACCATGAGAGAGTAGTTATGAGGTCTTACACCTGTGATCTGAAGCTTAGCTGGTTGACCTTTGTCTTATGAAAACTCATCTGAATGCTCCTAAAGACGAGAAGACCTGAAGATGAATAATCAAGACCCTCTACAAGATAAAATGAAAGAGCTTTAAGTAGCCTGGATGACACATTATAATTGAAAACTAAAAGGAAAGGAAAACGGTTAAAAAAACCCCAAACTCCTATACAGCCTTCAGAATTAATACAAACATTCTAGAGTTGTGACACTGGGCGTCCCTATATAAGCAGCAGCAACAATGATACTTCCTTGTTAAAAAAAAATCAGAGCTGAAGTCTTGTCCTCTGATTAATGGGGGAGCAAATGTAAACTCGAGCGATCCAGCGTCTCTGTTATTCCAGCCTATGAGGACAAATCCAGATGACTCATGCAAACAGCCTACAGTCACAGAAGAACGGATCCAAACTGGTCCTCCACACCTCATGAAGCTGGGGCCCACAATGTGTAGGCAATACTGGCCATGCTGCATTCCTCACATGCTGCCTCTCCTTCCGTGTCCAAGTACCAAGTGCCGCTGGGCAGTGTTTCCCAGCAGTGGGGATGAAGGTGTAGGGGTTTTTTCTGCCCAGATTCTTCTGTGCACTTCATGCCTACCATATGGGGAGATGTCTGCTCACTTGTCATGGACTTCAGGATTTTTTTGGGCATAAATAAGACACCCTCGCTTGAGCCCTAGCTCTGTTTCACATTCTCATGTTACCATTACAAAAGGAATCTCAGATGGCAACTTTGTTACCCAGCTAGTCTGTGCTCCTGGGACAAGAGGATGGTCACAGCACATGGAGCTCACCACAGTTGTTGGAACAAGCTGAGAACTCATGCTGTTCTACTAAATGTCAGTGACATACAATGTCTTCCCATGCTCAGAGAAAATACCACAAGGACAGCCAACAAAACGTCCCCTAAAAATGTCAGGCAAATCAAAGCAGAGAGTATGTGTCACAACTGCCATCTTATATTCTTAGTGGCTTTCTAAAGCAATAGTATCTGCTAAGCAAGCAGTTTGTACATCACCCCCGAGGGAAATAAGAAGTCAGGTAAGGTGTCTTGATTCTTGGCTCATCTACACAGAAGTTATTCAACAACAATTCTGTGAACATCCCTCTTCCAGAACAGGTGTGCCCTATTTTCCTCTTTAATTAAAACTCACAGTGTTAAACTAAACCGGAACAGCCCATCCTTATTCTGGAAATTAGTCATGAAATTAGTCAGGAATAGCTCCTCCTGAACAGCATGTATAAACAAGCCCATAACAATATTTATGTTGTCTGGAATGGTGGAGGACACCTTCACAGATGTATATTACTTTCCAGTCCTCTAAGAAACATGAAGCATGAGTTATTTTCCAGCTGGGGGCGGCGAACACTTCTCACCATTGTTTGGCCATTCCGTTCATCCTCGCAGCCCATTTGCGGGGACAGTGGTACCCCAGCATCGAGGCCGAGCGCTGCAGGCTGCGCCAGCACATGCCCCAAGCTGGCGTGTGCCAGGTGCGCTGGGCAAGACATACACCTAGGGGCGATGGATGTATTTATCCTTTATGGGAGGCATAGATCAGCAACCCCCCGGCTCAAAGATGCTACTAAAGAAGATTCCCCATTCGCGCAGGCCAGCCCCGGCTGCGCGCCTGTCGGTACCTGCGTGTCCCCCTCTCCGGGGGTGCCCCAGCTTGGGGCGGGCACCCCGCGGGGCAGGCGCTCGCAGCGGCCGGCGCTCCGCACCCGTCCGCAACCGCGCGGGGCGGCCGGGCACGCAGGCGCGGCCACTGGGCGCGGTTCCCAGCGCGCAGCCGCCACCCCCGTGAGGGCAGGTAGCAGCTTCCCTCCCGCGGCCACCCGCGGGCCGGGCCGGGCCGGGCCGGGCCGTACGAGCGCCCGGCAGGGGATGCGCGGCCCCGGCGCTCCGCTCCGCGCGCCCCGGGCGCGCTGGCGCACCTGGGCGGTGCGGCGCGCGCGGGGCGGGGCCGCGGGCAGTGAGTGGCAGCGCGGCGCGGGCCAATGGCGGCGCGCGGCAGCGGGAGCCGGGCGGGTGGGGCCGCCGGCGCGCGGGGGCTGCGCGGCGGAGCGTGTGCAGCGGCGCGCGGGGCCGCGGCCGGTGTCGGTGCGAGCCGGGAGAGAGACCCTGCGGAGGGCGGTGGGGAAGACACGGATCCGGATCCCGATCCAGTGCGGCGGCGGCCGTGGTGCTGGTGGCGGCGGCGGGAGGAGCCGGAGCGGCGCGCCGTGGAGGAAGGAAGCGCAGGGCTGGCCGCTGCGTGTGCAACCTGGCTGTTCCTGCTGCCCACGTCCACTCGCGGCTTTTCCTGCCGGCGCTGCCTGACAGCCGCCCGCCGCGGGTGTTGTCGTCGGGGTCTTTGGCGGGGGGGGAAAGAGCGAGCCGTCCTGCACAGCCCGGAGGCGTAATTGAAAGCAAGCAATAATTAACTGGAGGAGGAAGAGGAGGAAGGGGGTGGAGGAAGACGAAGGAGGAAGGCACCGCGCGGCAGAGCCCAGCCGAGCCAGCGAGCGGCGGCGGGACACGGCAACTTCGGCCGCAGCGGAGGAGCCGGGGCCGTGACCGCAGCGGCCGCCGCCTCAGCCCGCGCCTGCCCTGCCCGAGGGGGGAGAGCCTCGCCGCCTCCCCGGCCCCCGGACATGTCGGAGCATAAGGCCGTTGATCCCAAATTATCGACGACGGACAGGGTGGTGAAAGGTGGGTGCTGCGCCCCCGCCGCCCTTTCGACCGGGTCCCCCGCCGGGCCTCTTGCTGGGGTCGCGTCCATTCCCCCTTCCTCGCCCCGGGCAGGTACCGCGGCGCGGCCGCTTGGAGGGGTGGGCTCGGCCCGGGGGCTTGCGCCGGGCCCCAGTGGAGGGTTTGCGACTTCTCTCGCCTGCCTGCCCGGCGCTACATTGCAGCATTTCCCCCCTTCCTCCCCCCGCCGCCTCCCCCCCTCCGCCTTGAAGGCGCTGCACAGGGCTGGCGTGAGAGAGAGCCCCAGCTTCCTCCCCCGCCCCGGTGCCTGGGGGAGAGGAGGGCAGGGCTCGGACCCCTCCCCCAGCCCGACTGCTCCTCTGGGCATCCCCCGTTCCTCCTTCTCCTCCGGACCGCCCTCCCCGGAGGCCCCCCGCAGGCTACGCCGCCGCCGCCGCTTGTCACTGCCGTTCTGCTCCCCGCATGCTGCAAGGATGCCTGGAAACCTCCCCGTGCCAGCAGTCGGGGCTCCGCTCCCACACCGAACGCCGCTGCTGGGGACCGGTTGCGCCGCCCGGCTCCCCCGTGCCCCGCTCCCGCAGGGCCGCCCCCGCGGCACCCGCGGCGGGAATGCCGGGCGAGGGGGAGCGCGCCGTGGGCGCGGGCCGTGGGCGTTGTGGGAGGCGGCGAAGGCTGCTTCCTCCTCCTTCTTTCTCCTCCTCCTCCGTCGCTGTCTCTTGCCGACGGCCCGGCCTGCTAGGATGTGAAGTTATCCAGCGGGCGTACCGTGGCCGTGCTCCCGCGTGTGCGTGAGGGTGCTCGGCACAAACGCGGATGGGCTCCATGATTTTTGCTCCGTTTCGGAGGTACGCTGCTAGCCTCGGCCGTATAAACAAATTAAAGTTTGGCTTAACAACTCGTTATGCCCCGCAGTGCAGACCAAGGTTTTATTTACTGGGGCGATGCCTGATGTGAATTGCACATATGCATTTCTCGGTGTGTAAGAAGTGCACGTTTGGGTTTTTTGTTTATTTGTTTTTTGTTTGTTTCTTTCCTTCCGCACTGGGCACACAGCCAAGTGTGCCCAGCTCTGGTGTATTGCACCCATTTAAGTTATAACCCGAATGCTACGGTGGATGGTACAAATCCTAGCTGCAGCATGCATGTGTCCAGATCCTGGGAAGCTAGAAATGGAAATGGCCTTGAAATAAATGCACTTCTGTATTTACATGAATACAGAATGAAACACTCAGTGTAAATATTACTTGGGAAGGTGTGTTATTTATGGTTTTGTGTTTATATTTACATTTACCTTCTTATGCCTTTCCCCCTCTTACTTCATTTTATGCCCCTCCAAGGGAAATTGTAGATATTCAGATATTGTAAGATACATAATTGCAAGAATTTTTAGAAAATCACTTGTAAATTCACCTTTACCTTGTAATATCTGGAATATTTACAATTTAAGTTTCAGTCTATTATATCACACCAAGAATTGGCTTTAAAGCCTGTGTTTAGCTGATACTTGTCTCCTCTAGAAACAATAAATGGCTATTCTATTAGGAGAATTTAATGATTATGGAATATATTTTTTGGTTTTGTTTTAATTTCTTTAATCTATTTGGTCCTAGTACACATGGCCAATCGTCCTAATCTTTGCTGTGACAGAACTTCCTTTGGCTTAAGACAATGTTTGTCATGAATAGGAATTATTTCAGTATTTACAAAACCTTCAGTGCTTTCAGCTCATCTAAATATGTTTTTGTCAGCAATTGCTCTTTGCGTTTTTCACACATTTAAATTCCTCCAATATCTAAAACCACTATTTCTAAAAAAAAGCTTAGCAGTATGTGTAGTTAAATACTTTTATAATACAACTCAGAGAGAAATCAACTTGGTTAAGCTGAGTTCTAATTTTCAACAAAAAGAACCTAGATGCTGCTTGGGTGTCCATTGCCCCTGCTGTTTGTCTCATAATGTCAGTGTTTCAGTGTAGATGTGAAGATCTACTTAACATGGTTCAGGCCTCCATTAAATATTGAAATCCTTTTAAGGTCTTAAAATAGCATCTGAAGAGTGTAGTATACAGTAAACTGATTGTTAATAGGATTGTTCTTTGCTGCATCATAGGCACTTCACCCTGCCTTCATAAGGACGTTAAGGAACTCAAGAAAACAACTGGTGGTAATAAAGGAAAGATCACTTTGTTGTTTCTGTCCTATAGGACGTGATTTGTACCGTCTTGAGATGAACAACTGAAATGGGCTTGCAATGTTAAATTAATAAAGAATAATTAAATAAAAATGTACATTGTGAGCACCTTTATAAGTAGCTGAAGTATTGTTATTTTAGAGAGGAAAAACAGATATTCTTACACTGGTAAGGTGTAACCTGAGAAAGCAAGTTTAAGTTCTTTTTAGTTAGAATATCATATAAAACATTACTTAAAGGAGATGCCTTTTACATGGATGTAATCTCTGGATTAAAATTTTCCCTCTGCTTGCCTGTGTGGGATTTTTTTGGTTTTATTTTATTATTTATTGTGTTTGCTTTTTTTTTTCAACCCTCTCTACTGTTCGTCTATGAGAGATGTTTCATACTAACAGTAACTCTGAGCTAGCTGGTGAAAAATCCTGGCTTGGCACTGTTACGTAACAGTGGGACGGGCTTGGGGGGATTACAGTTCCAGCAGCTTTGTGCAAATTGCTTGTGGCTGAGAGCTGCTTCTTCAGAGGCTTGCTGTGGGTTTGGTTTTGTTTTTTGCTTCTCGTGCTTAAAAGGCTCACATATAAGGAAAAGTGGAGTATTTCCATAGGCGAGGATTTCTTCTCACACTCGCTTTGCTTTTTGAATTGTCTGAAGTGTACTTAAACTGATTTGGCTAAAAAATAAAATGCTTTTGGGATGAGGGGGAAAAAGGCTCGGGAGCCCCTAATGTTTTTAACGTTCTGGTCTTTTGGCTTTGTTATGCAAATCTCACTGTCCTACGATGAACAGTATAAAGATGAAATTCAAGTTTGTGTATAACGTTAAGTTTCCAGAAGCAAATTAACTCCTGTTAAAGTCGACAAAACCATCTGTTTTGCTGAGCTAAAGGAAAAAGTAAAATTAACCCAGAGAATGCAGTTGTGCTTAGAAGGGTACTTTCGATTTACTCTGGTGCTCTCACTGAGATGGTATGCATGGTGTGATGCAAATTACACAATTCATCTTTACTCTCCGGATTTTGTCATACTGTAGAGGAGCAGCACTTGGTCTGTTGACTGCAAATATGATAAACTATATGTTCAGGTGCATTCAAAATTTGTGGGATCAAGGCTCAGAACAACATACCGTTACAGGAGGAGCTGACTTGATGTACTTATTAATTGAAATTCCTTGCCTTTTTGTTAGCCATATGGTGAAGCTTCCACTTGAACAGAGCTGTCTTAAAAGTTTGTGTCCTTCTTCAGGACTGAGGAAGCTGTTCCTTATCCATGCTGCTTCTAACTCCTGAGCCTTGCCAGCCAGAGTGTGGGCTTGGTTGTGGTTCTTGTGAAGGTAGGAATACCTGTCCAGGAAAAACTGGAGTGAAGATAGTAGCTCATTCCATATGGCTCAGCTGCCTGGTGTCAACAGCTTTTGCTCACTACTGACATTAGCAAGATTTGAACCCCACCCATGGGGAAGGAAAAGCCATGTATCATGTTACTTGACCTCCTCTAAGTATTTAGTGTTGCACTAGTGCTTCTGAGGAATCCTGCACTAAAGCATAGCAATCCTAAATAAAAACTTTGAAAGTCAGCTGGAGTAGTCGTACAAAAAAGTGAAGTCTGTTTTTCTTGGAAATCTTGAAGTTAGTTAGGGACAATAATTGTTTTGATTTTTTTCTGGGCAGGTCAGGTAGTTGGTTGCTTTTTTGTGGTTTTTTTTTTGTTTGTTTGGTGCTTTTTTCTTGGAAGTAGAGTTTCAATGAAATAATGCTGTCTTGCCGTTCAGGAGGGCTGTAGCCATGGCTTGTGATCCTTGGTGTTGTCCTTTCCTCTTGTGTGTTGCATGGGGAGGTGTACATGGTTATATCAGCAATTGACAACACACACTAAGGCCAGACACCGCTCTCTGCTGTCTCTGAATTTCAAACTGTGTCGTTGTTAACGCTCTCCTAAAGTGCAGGCTAACAGTTGTTTGCAATATAATATGAATGCCAGCTCACGATCGATATGTCACCATCAGAGTTAATTTCAGATTTGTGAGAGTAAAATTGCTGTCAATAATGGGAACTCTAAACTTCATTGCTAATTCCCATTAGTCCAGGGAGACTTATGTGTATTCACCAAAGGCTTGTGCTCCGGGCTGGAATCCAGCATTGGTGAATTGCAGAAGCCTGCCTCTGTCTCCCTCTGAATTCAGTTCAATCTTTCCAGCATAGATGTGTCCTGTAAGTGCTTCGGTGTTTTTTTGAGCAGTTGTGTTGACATGAATATCTGTAATGTTGGTGGATTTGGTATATATTTTGGTGTAAATTTGAGTATTGCTTATTTATGGCAAGAACCAGGGTTGCTTAAATAGTTATGACTGTTTAATACAGTAAAGGATGATATACCTCTATTTTGAGGATGCTGAAGATTGTGTCTACTGATCCTCATGAGGAAAAAGAAGGAATTGCTTTGTAGCTGTTCCTGTTGGCATAGAAAAGCTGACTTTACTTTTAATTAATTTATTGTTGTAGTACTTAGTAATATACTGGTTGCTCTGAGGAAGACTGCATCTGGGTTCAAGGTGTACTATTAACTGGAGAATCTACCCACAGCTATGCCAGAAAGGTGGCACTGGTGGAGCTGGGGATTGATTCTCTTCCCTATCCACTTTTACCTTCATTTGAAGGAATGAATGTACATCTACCTCAGTTTTAGTAACTCCATAGTTGCAAATCTCCTGGTACCTTTATACAATTGAATATACTTGGAGAGATATTATGGTTGTTTAAGAAAGAAAACAAGGTTGCTGTGTTATGTTTTTTAATGTGTGTAACTAATTTGTTC